CCCAATTCTTGTTCTCAACTAGCTATTAGTTAACCTTTTCTAGCCTGTTAATGTTAATTAAATTAACTAATTAACAGCTCTGAGTTATTTGAACTTGAAAAAGATAGCAATAGCTCACTTTATATAGCCTTTAAGGTTTGCAAAGGGCTTTAATACATTATTTTACTTGAGCCTCATAACAATTTGTGGAGTAAATGCTACTATTATCCCCATTTTACAGATGAGGAAACTGAGGGTCAGAGAGGTGAAATGATTGTGCAGGGGCCAAGTCCTGAGGTGAGATTTGAATACAGGTCTTCCCAATCATGACTACAAAGCTTTAAGCTAGTCCCATTATGATGGACTGTAAGCTCCCTCCTAAATCAGCAGGTTTTGCAGAGGTAGATGCGTTGGGGGGAATTGAGGGACCACAGACAACACTATCTCTATGTGCTAGTGTGAGTACATTTAAAGAAATGTGTGACATGTGTGCGTCTACCATGCTCACTGATGAGTGATGATGATGCAGAGCCCTGGATTTGGACATCAGAAAACCTTGACACATCCAGACCTTAGGTGCCAATCGTACCTAAATCAGTATATGACCTTAGGCAAGTAAATTCACTTCTCTGAGCCTCAGTTTCTTCACCTGTAAAATGGGGATAATAATATTGGCATTAACTACCTCATAGGGTTTTTGTGAGGGAAATACTTTGTTACCCTTAAATCAAAAGAGGAGTTATTTTGTTAGGTTTGGGTACAGTATGTGTGTACATATTTGTATGAATTATGAAGGAATAGGTACTATATGATAATAATAAAGCTGACATTTACATGGCACGTTATGAACATTTCCTATTTTGATCCTTACAAAATCACAAAATTACTGCCCAGCTATTTAGCCATTAGGTAGACAGGTACCATTACTACCCAGCTATTTAGCCATTAGATAGGCAGCTGAGTGGTAATGGGTAAGAGTTCTGGCACTAGAGTCAGGAAGACTTGAATTCAAAATCTGCCTCAGATACTTACTAGCTGAGTGACCTTGGACAAATCACTCAACCTCTGTCTTCCTCAGTTTCCTCATCTGTAAAAAAGAGGATAATAATATCACTCATCTCCCATGATTATTGTGAGGGCAGAATGAAACCATATTCTATTCATAAAGCACCTTGCAAACTTTAAAGAACTGTGTAAATGCTAACTATCATTGCTATAATCTTCATTTTACAGACAGGAAACTAAGCATCAAAGAAGATGAATGACTTGCTTATGCTTGAACAGCTAGTCAGGATCTGGGGGTGGGATTCAAATGAGGAGTCCTCCTGACTCCCAGTTCAGGCCTCTGTGTGAACTGTGAGCTGTATGTTTTGTGACGGGGTGAGGATATGTGAGTGTCTGTAACATGTGTAAGTGAAACGTGTTATGTATGTGTGTAATTTTCGATGGAGTGCATGTGTGAGCCTCTGTGTGATCTGTTCAAGCACATATATGAATCTGTTAAAGACAATTTACTCAACGCACATTCTGTTCCCCTGAGGGCAAGAATTTGGGGGAAAGGAGAACAAGTGAGTTGCAAACCCCAGGCCTGTCTGCCCAGGCAGGATAAGGAGGGAATCTTTCAACGTGGCTGCTCCTACAGGACAGGTGCCTTCTCCCTCCCCTGGCCCACCTCCCAACTCTTTTCTGAGTAATAGGCTTTTCTGCCAAGGAAGCAACAAAGCCTTTGTGAACACAAAGCCTGGTTCCTGGTTGTACTTACCACTTGTTTTTTTAGAAGGAAAATTGCTGGTGACACTTTCCTTCCCTTTTCCAGAGGGAGCCTTTCAGAACAGATGTGTTTTCACACTGAGGCTTACACCCCGGCAGCACCTAATTATTTCTCAGTATTGTTGCCATAAATCTGGGGAATATTAGAATAATGGAGCCATATGGTGGTATTGTAAGAGGGGAAAAAACCGCCAAAGCCATTGTGTGGGGCAGTGAGTGAAACTGGGGGGAGAGGAAGAAAACGGGAGAGAGGGAGGGAAAAAGAAGAGGGTAGGACAGGGGGGAGAGGGCAGAGGGAAGGAGGAGGGGGAGGGAGAAAAGGGAAAGGCAAAGAGAAATGGAGAAAAGAGAAAAAAGGAGAAAATAGGAGTGAGGAAAAAAGAAGAGAGCAGGAAAGAAGGTGGGGGAGGGCAGAGGGAAGGGGGAGAAAGGGGAAAGGCAAAGAGAGAAATGGAGAAAAGGGAAAGAGGGGAGAGGGAGAAAATGAGAGAGAGCGAGGGAAAAAGAAGAGAGCAGGAAAGAGTGGGGGTAGGTCAGAGGGAAGGAGAGGGAGGGAGGGGGGAAAGGCAAAGAGAGAAATGGAGAAAAGGGGGAAGGAAGGGAAGAGGGAGAAAAAGGGAGGAGGGAGGAGGGAGGAGAGAGTGAGAAAGAGCCTAGGAGAGTGCCAAGGAAGGAGAAAGGGAAGAGGCAGAGAGAAAAATAGAGAAAAGGGGAAGAGGGAAAGAGAGGAGAGGTGGGAGAAGAGGGAGAAAGAAGACAGTAGAGGAGAGACTGGGGGAGGGGAGAGAGAAGGGAAAAGAAAGGGGAAAGGCAGAAAGATAAATGGGAAAAAAGGGAAGAAGGAAAGAGGAAAGGGGGGAAAAGGAAGAGAGATTTAAGAGAGTGAAGGGAAGGGGAGAGGGAAAATAGGAGAAAAGGAGACAAATAGAGAAAAGAAGAGAGGATAATGGAAAAAAGAAGGAGGTTGGAGGTAGAATGGGGGAGGACAATAAGAAGTGGGGGAGAGGGAAAGCAAAGAGAGAGAAGAAGAAAGAGTGAGGGAAAGGAAGAAAAGAAGAGGAAAAGAATGAAAGAGATGGGAAGGAGGAGAGAAATTTGAATTAGGAAATTTCAGATGAGAAGAACTTTGAGCTGAAAAGATGAAAAGATAACAATTCTCTGAGGGTGGAGAAGGGAGAGTCATAATTGTGTGTGAGGTTAGTATGTGAGGCAGGTACAAGGTAGAGGAGAGGCATTGTTTGGTCCCCCCCCCCCCCAATCTCCCTTTAATGACTCTCCACAGTCCATTCACCTGTGTGGGAGTTTCAAGGCTAGACTCATTCTGCTGGAATTAAAAAGCTGATTGAGGCTGAGCTGGACCTAGCAAAAACCTCAGTCTAGCCCTACCTCAGATTAATTTCCACTTCAGCCAACAGATGGACCCCCACCTATTACCATGAGTCACCTTCTCCAGCACCTTCCGGGAGAGCAAAAGACCTGACAGGAGAGGAGAGGTGAGGGGTGAGGAGACAGGATCTCTCTCTCCCTCTCACTTCCTCTCCCCCTTCCTTTCTCTCTCTGTTTCTCTCTGTCTCTCTCTCTCTCTCTCTCCAAACCAAACAACATTAGCATACTTCACTCCTAGTAAGAGAGCTAAACAGCTTTCATTCCTTTAGACAGTATTCAAGGTTGAGCTTGGGAGTGCCTCCTTCCCTTTTATACACAGCATTCAAACATGATCTCCACCATGATGAAATCTGGTGTTTTATCCTATCATTCCAATGATGAGGATCACGATTCCCTGATATCTGGCTATCATTGCTCCAAAGGTAGGGATACTGAGTATAAGGAAAGTTGTTCTGGAGAAACTTGATCAGACTGCTAGATCAATCTAGGTGCCTGGCACATAGAGAGCAGGAAAGAAGGTGGGGGAGGGCAGAGGGAAGGGGGAGAAATGGGAAAGGTAAAGAGAGAAATGGAGAAAAGGGAAAGAGGGGAGAGGGAGAAAATGAGAGAGTGTGAGGGAAAAAAGAAGAGAGATGGAATGCTTTTGATTGTCAGCAGTAATCCTTAGATGAGGCTTGAAAGCTCCAGTAAATAAGGAGAGGAGAAAACGAAAAGAGGAAGGGCAGTCACTCAGGGGAGATGATGGTAGCGGTCATCAGGAAGAAAAGACGATGCTATTTCATGCAGGTTCCAGGAAGAATCCTAGGAGGGACAGAACCTCTAATGGGAAGTTTGGGTGAGAGGGGTTTAGAATGTAATAAAAAGAGTAGGCCTGGGACTCAGAAAACAAAGGACCTCACTTTCCTCTATGCCCAAAGAAGCTCTCCCCTGGACTCTGGGCAGAATTAACAGTGAAGAATCAAGGACAGGCATAGTCTGACCTCAAGAACTGTGTTGGGCTGAAAAGGTTGATAACCTACCCGGGGAAATGAAGGGAGTAAACTGCAAAAAGGTGAAGTCAATCAACCAATAAACATTCAGTCATCAACTACTATGTGACAACACCATGCTAGGCACTGGGAATACAAGTACAAAGATGGAAAAAAGCTCTACCTTTGAGAATCTTACATTCTAACAGGAGTTACAACAAGTACACATATAAATATACACAGCATAAATATAAAATGGATTATACAAATATGTGCAAAACAGTTAAATACAAGGTAGCTCTGGAAGGAGGGCATTAGTAGTTGGGATAATAGGGCTTATATATCTGGAGGACAATCAGAGACTTTGTTCGGTGTTGCAGTAGGAAAAGATCCTAGCAGTCAAAACATTGGGAACCTTCTGTTTGGAAAGTCACACTCTGGGCAAGAGGATATTTCTTGACTAGTCCAAAAAGAATGAATCTTGGTTTTTTATTTCAGCATCAATCCACAGAAGGACATAAAGAAAATGATACAGCTGGATTTGGAGCCCACTGCATTATTTATTATTATTATTATCATCAGCATTAATTTTCAACATTTAGAAGATCCTATTGATGTAATAAATGTGGGTCTTCATTCTATGAAGGTGATTGGAACCCTCTCCCATGCCTTGCTGGACAGGCTTCAAAAGTTACTGTTTGTAGGCAGGGACTATTTTAATTTTAATTTTTGTATCCACAGTGCCTGGCACAAAAATAAATGCTTGTTGAATTGACTTGAACAGAATAAAAAAAGTTAATCACCTAGTGACCATTTCTCTGAGCCTCTGTGAACTAGCTGGGTGACAGGCACAAAGTCTGTAGCCAGGCTTGTAACCTGAGCTTTTCTCTCTTCTAGGACTGGATCATGGACCAGCCTTCAAAAACCCTAGGTCAATTAACAGCTATGGTGAGGCATAAAGCTAGGATTTTAAGGGCGGATCATTAATATTATCAATAACAGTAGTAGCTCATGTTTATATCATGTTTTATACTTTACAAAGTGCTAACAACAATTATCTTCTTTTAACAGATGAAGAAACTGAGACTCTACAATTGGGCCCTTGCCCACAGTCACATGGCCAGTACAGTGGTTGCACCCAGGTCTCTTTGCTCACACTCTTCTAACTCCAAGTCCTGTATCCGTGGTGCCTTTCTACATCCCACTTTACACTTCCTTGATGCTTTAAATTGGTCACTTCAAAACTCTTTCTCCTGGGATGCTCTTAGTAACTCTGAGACATAAGGATTCTAAGGATTTCCATCTGCAAATCTTCAATGTACAAATTAGGATTCACTTTTCCCAAGGAAGGTGAACTCTATAAAGTAAATCATATCTGCATTGTGTTTGTACAAAAGATAGAGAAGAAAAAAAGACAAGAAAACTAAGAGTGTAAGAGGTTAAAGTCTCAGATTGAGGGGGTAGCAGCTGGAGTGCTGGTCTTGAAATTAGGAAGATCAGATCCTGTCTTTGATTTTTACTGGCTCTAGGAACCTAGATAAGTCATTTAAACTCTCAGCCCATTTTCTACTCAGTAAAATTGGAACAATAAGACCAGTGGTACTTATCTCATAACATATAATCCTCTTAAGGATTAAATGAGATAATGTAAATAAAGCCTTTTGCAAACCTTAAAATGCCTATGTAAATGTCAGTTTTATTATTTCCCTCCACTTTTTAAGGTCAATTGGAAGGCTTCGCCTGCACACCAGCACCAACAACCCACCTGGGGAAGTAGATCACCTTACTTGAAGATATGTAGAAACCAGTCCCAGTTCCATCCCTAACCCCCCTTTCTTTCCTTTCAGCAATATCTGAGCTGAAATAAACCAGGAAGAACAGTGATTTGGTAAACTCCAAATTGAACCCAATTGCTAATTATGTCACTGAAGAAAATATCCCTATGCAACATTTGTTCTCTACATGGGTGCCTCACTGATTTTCTGCTTTAAGTCTGGGTCCATCTCCCCCCAGGAATAGAGTGTGGATAGAGAGGAAAGTGCACCATCAGTAAGGGGGATGTTTGGTAACTTGTCCTTGCTAGACTGCCTCAGGACATATCCTTTGTAAAAGTTTATTGATATTAGTTGGTTAATTTATTTTGGGAGGGGCATACCAGATGGGGTCTCATGAGAGATACTATTAGAAATCCCAGCTCCACAGGGTTATCTCTGATGGGAGTAGTTAGCAGCCCTCTGGGGATCCCTCTTTGTCAATCCAAGTAGAAATTGAGTCCTCTCCCTCTCCTCCATATTTCTAATGGCCTTTGTTTTTCTTCCCATCTCAATGTGTGGTGAATCCTAATGTTCTTTCAGTCATACCACTTTGCCACAGTAGGAGATCAAGAGGGCTAGTCTAATCCTAGTATGGGGACTAGTTCTAACCAGGGAACTGTTGTGGTTTAGGAGTGCTGGGAACCCCAAAATTCAAGGGCAAAAGATATGGGTCTGCCTCAAAAGAATTCGACTCAAACCTTCCTTCAGTCAGAGACAAGGTTTATTAAAACATCATTTGGAGTGGGTGAGATTCCTAGTGAGTCTGTGCTATTGGCCAGATTTTAAGAATCTGAGTGATTTAATGGAGACAAAACGGAGCTTTTATACAGAAAAACTGTGAGAAGATCTGGATGTGATCGAGGAGTGGCCAAGTAGTCTGGGGTGCCTGGGAGAAGTAGTCTAGATGAAAGTAAGGGTGGGAAGTGGCTGGGGTTGAGCTGGAGGTAACAGACAATGAAGGGCTGGACTAGGTTAGAGGTAACAGAGAATTGGAGATTGGGGCAGGGTCAAAGCCACCAACACAAGAACAGTTGAAAGCATTATTAACTGGGAAGGGGCAGGTATCCCAGGTGAATACCAGGGACCTGAGAACCAAGGACCTGGTCCACTTGGGAAAGTCCAGGGCCTTTTAGGGGTCCATCATTAATTAATGCCCTACCAGAACTACTGAATAAAGGATCAGAAACAGGAGAAGGAACCTGCACCTTCCTGGAGCTGAGGGTTCAGACAGGGGTATAGTGAGAGATGGGGGTGTGGGAAGTAGTAGTTCAGTAGGGAAACCCTAAAACCCAATGCCAGTGAGCCAGTTCAAGGCCTGAGGGAAGCCACTTTAGCCAGAGAAGCTGGATGCAATCTGAATGAAACATTCAGAGGAAGAGCTTGTATCCTATTTATCTTAGGGGGGGTTTGGACTGTTTCAGGGGAAGTTTGGATTCCAAGTTCCTTTCTGCCAAGTGGATCTCACACAGGCCCTATCCTTTAACCCATGGCCATACAACAGGGAATGCTGGCCTGTTTCCTCTGTGCCTAGAGGAAACAGCTGCTTTTGGTCACTTTTCGAGGTGCCCCGTGATGCAACCAGAGACAACCAAATGGATGAGGGTATTCAGAAAGTTTTTATGCTGCAAACTTAACAATGTTTTTGAGAACCAGACACCTCTCATAGCAAAGGAAACATGTTGTTGTTTTTGTTTCTAATCACATGGCCAAGTCCACATGGGGATGATGTTTAAAGACAGACAACAGCTTGCTGTAGTTTACAGTCAGGCTGGCCACAGAGACTTGGGAGTAGTCAGAGGCTTTCCCTTCCTCTCAGCCAAGAGGCGGGCCAATTCCAGTAAAGGGTCCTTTAATTTAAATTATTTTAAATTATTCTGCTTTATCTTAAAATGAAAATAAAATTTTAAATTATTTTAAAATAATTAAGCTATTCAGAAAAGCCTCTGATTTTTAGGCCTATTCTTTCTTGCAACAGGCTGTTTCTGCTCTAGACATGTCCCCTATGCCTGCTTCTGCTCCCTTTTCCGCACCACCACCCTACGAATATCTGAAATAGTGGGAACCTCCAGTTTCCTAGCTAATTTTTGGTGCCTCTTTGCATAGGACATCAGAAGAAGGAAACTAATCAAAGGTACCCACTAGAGATCCTGACCTTCCCTATAAAACATCTGGCCCTTACACATAGCTAAGTAGCCCCATTGTGTGGGACAGCTTCCATGTTCCCTAGGACCTGGGAGGTGTGAGGACAGCTTGGCACTTGCCTGGGTGCCAGGTCATGTGAAGTGTCTTTATTCAGGGGAATGATGGTGGTAGTTCAAGGGGCTCCCAAGAGCCATTGTTCAATTTTTGATGTGAACATTTACACCTAGAAACTGGCACATACTACAAATCAGGACTTGACTTATTGTTTTCTTGATTATCTAAAGTTAAGAAAGTGCTGGAGAAAATGCTAATAAAACTTAAGAGTGTATCATGTGTACCTTTTTTTTGAGAACTGGTTATTAAATATTTATCAGCATACCACTTCCTCTAGCACACTCAACATCAAGCCCTCCTTTCTCCTTCCTTTTTCTGTCATGACTTTAAAGCCTGCCTCACCTAAGGCCCTACACATTCTCTTCTCCATCTAATCCATCCTACACAAACTGCCAGATATAATAACCTTCCTTAAATAATCTTCCTTAAACACGGCTTTTAGCATCTAATGATATTTTAAAACTTTCAATGGTTTCCACTGCCTACCTGATAAAGGCAATCTACTTAGACTACACCACAGAATGAAAACTGTTGGAACTGTTAGGTTTTTCAAAAATTTAACTGTTATATCTCCAGCACCTTGCTTAGTACCTGATGAATATTAGGTGCTTACTAAATGCTGTAAACTAAAAATTAATTAATCAATTAATTAATTAAAATTGCTTGGCAAATGATTGACTTGAGGCCTACTACAAATCTGGTTCCAACCTACCATTCCAACATTATTTCCCAGGACTCACTGCTCCCCCCACACTCACCCCTGACTCGAAAATTCTCCTTACCAGTTAAAACAGTCCACAGACCTCCCTGCCAATACAACTTGACCTTTCTTGTCTGAAATGCCTTCCCTCCCCTCTCTGCCTATCTAATCTATACTTATCCTTCAAGGCCCAGGTCAGATTCCCACCTCCTTCCTGGAGCTTTCTGTGACCAACGTAGCTGGGAGTAGTATCTCCCTTCTCTTAACGCCTCCTTTGGCACTTGTTATCTGGACCATTCATTTGGCATGTGTCAACCAGTCATTTGGCATGTGTCATATGCTTCTCTGTATTGTTAGTTATCTTTTCATATGTATATGTGGGTGGAAGTTCCTGGGAGGCAGATTTTTAGCTCAATGCAAAAAAGAATTTGCTCACAATTAGCTGGAATGGGATGTGGCTGTTCTTCTTGTTCATGGGGAATTGGATTTCTAAGAGTTCCATGACCTTGGGCAAGTCATTTCCCCAGAGGCAACACAGTACAGTGGGAAGAGAACTGAACTTGGAGTTTGGAAATCTGGGCTCTAGTCCTACTTCTGGGACTAACTTTCCTTGTGGGTATGGACAAGGCACAACCTCCCTGGAGTTTACTTGCTTTCCTCTAAAGTAAAATGGGGGTAGGGTAGGAAGTCATCTAAGGATCCTTCCTGGGCCAACTTTCTATAAATCTGTAAGTCTCTCTGAGTCTCAGTTTAAAACAAGACCAACTGACCTCTCAGACTCTTTCCAACTTTAATGACTTATTAATTTCAGCTAGATTCTACCCTTCTGTGTCTTACAGGCATAGTGTATAAGTTGATTAAATGTGTGAGTTGTGAAGTGTAGTGTAATGGAAAGAACACTGCATTTGGAGTCATTACTAACAATAGAGAGAAGCATATGACACATGCCAAATGAATGGTCCAGATAACAAGCCAGGGAAGAGGAGTTAAGAGAAGGGAGATACCACTTCCAGCCAGGCAGGTCAGAGAAAGCTCCAAGAAGGAGGTGGAACCCCTACCTGGGCCTTTAAGGATTAATAGATTTCATCTCTTTGGGGTTCAAATCCTGCCCGGGTGACCTTGCTAAGTCATTGCCCTCCTTTGGGCTTTAGTTTCCTCATATATAGAAAGAAGGGATTGGCTTAGATCTGAGTTCTTGGCCTTTTTGTGTGTCATATGTCCCTTTGAAATTCTGGAAAGCCTACGGACCCCTTCTCAGAATAATGTTTTTAAATTCATAAAATAAAGCACATAGGATTACAAAGAAACTGGTTATATTGAAATACAGTTAACAAAATATTTTTTTAAAAAAAGTTCATAGACTCCTAGACGAGATGATCTCTAAAGCCCCTCAAGGCTCTAAATCTACAATCCTATGTCTTCTGAGGCAGTTAGGTAGCTCAGTGGATAGAGGGCTGGGCTTGGAGTCAGGAAGACCTAAATTCAAATCTGGCTCTGACATTCACTAGCCGTGTGACCCTGGGCAAATCACTTAACCTCTGTTTGCCTTAATCCACTGGAGAAGGAAATGGCAAACCAATCCAGTATCTTTGACAAGAAAATCCCACTGAGGGTATGGTCCACAGGGTCACAAAGAATCAGACGTGACTGGAAAATAACAACAACCATCTCTTAGAATTCTTCTCATTCCACATAGTTGTTTTTTGTTTGTTTGTTTGTTTGTTTGTTTGTTTTTTTGTTAGGCAATGGGGTTAAGTGACTTGCCCAGGGTCACACAGTTACTAGTGTTATGTGTCTGAGACATTCCACATAGTTTTGCACAA